TGGTATTGTTTATTGCTTTATTTTCTACTTTTACATAACTGCGGTATTTCAAAATAGGTTAAATTGACTTGTTTGACTAATCATTTAAACATAATTAACTTGTGGCTTGTTGCATGTTAATTAAGTTTTAATTCCGCATTTACACCTAATCACCCCCCTCTGGGTGTAGTAGGGTCGAATCTTGCGTTTCTCACATCCGCTCGTGAATCCTATTAAATTCTTCCTTTATGATATCTAATTGAGAGAAATCCAAGGATTGTAGTTGCTCTGATACCATTTGTAATGGTTGGAGTTCAACTTCAACCAAAACCAGATAAAATGCAATTCAAATCAACACAATAATGGATCAATTGAGCTGGAATTTATTAATTGAACTGAAAATGACACAGAAATAACAAAGAATAACAGAAAACAGAGAAAGGACAGAATCAGAGGAGGAAGAAGAGAAGCAGATTTAGAAAGAGAGAGAGAGAGATTCAAACATAATACAGAAAATGGGGGAAATTCTGGTGCGAGCTAACAATTTTCCAGATCAGTTTTTCATCCTCCCCATGTGCTGATTTTATAGAGTCATAGAACATTCTAGAATGTAGAATCATGACATTCATCCAATAAATTTTGAGTGGCCTGATCAAAATAAATAGAAAGGAAAACAAAAGCAAGCGCCAAGATCCCTTAGAACACAGCATACGAAAATCTAATTCATTTATCTACATCAGTAGATGAGATCAAGCACACAGTTATGTAAAAATATTTAGAATTCCATATCTTAAAAAAAAGTTATTTCATAATCCTAAGTAAATTAGAAACTTAACCAAAAGTTTTACATTTCTAGCTTCGTATTAGAATTCCTGCAATTTGCTGGAAAAAAATCTTGCACTTTTTTTGTATCATATGCACAAAATATAACTATAAACTATATTCATGCTAAAAAAATCAGCTGCTGAATACAATTAGCATGATTAGCATTACAAATATCCACTCCAATTCATAGATAAAAACAAAATGCATTGTTGGAACTTTAAAATCCAAAATTACAAATTAAATCATTGTTGGGACATATTACTTTTATTTTTCAAAAAATCCTCAAAATCATTCCTGCATTTACAGTAGAAATAGAAGTAATAGTCAAAATGACCGCATCCGAAGAAGATCTACTGATCTTAGGAGAGGGAACCACATGCCTGTTGCCAGGGGCGGACGCAGACCTTAAAAGTTAGGGGGGCACAATCGAACTTGCAAAGTTGGGAGAAATTTTACAATTAAAAATTTACATCCAAAAAAATCAGACCCTATACAATTTTATATCCAAAAATTTATATGGGATATGATTTTTTCGGATATAAAATTTCGAAAATTTTTAATGTCATATTTCATATAAAATTTCATAATAAAATGGTGAAAATTACATTGAGAAATTT